CCACGAGCAGCTCCGTGCCCACGGACACGACACACACCCCACGCACAGACAGACAGCGACACAGGCAGCGCCGCCGGGTAGAGTCAAGGCTTCCAGGTCAGGGAGGGGTTGGGCAGTCATTTTTTTGGCTCCTGTGCTTTGAAAGCAGCAGTTTTCCAGGCCAGCGAAGCAACACGGTGGCCACGGGGACCCCCCACGCCAGCCCTACCATGCACAGCGGGACGGAGGAGAAGGCTTTTCTCCTTCCCCATGCCCCCAACCCGCTCGCAAGCCCAAAGCCCACCTCTAGCCAGCATCCACGCAGGGAACACGCTGTCTGGGTTTCAGCTCTACAGTAGTTTTTAAAAAATATTTATACGTTATATACCCTAAAAAGGTCACCACAGGAATTTCCATGTCTTTGGAAGGAAGGGAAAAAAAAATAACCAAAACTGTTTCACAAAAGGAAAAAAAAAATCCGATTATCAGCGGCGTTCACCTACAGGACAAAACCCCCGGCCGCAGCGTATGGATCTGACGGGGGGGATCTTACCGCCTGCTCCGGAAAGGTCAGAAACACAGGTGAGTAGCTAAAAATAACTAGTCTGGTATAAATGTCTGAATTCCATGCGCTTGATATAACAGTCTGTCTTTTTTTGTCTTTTTTTCTTAAAAAATATATATATATAGTTATTGCTTTCTCAAGGGCTGGTGGGCGTGGGGCACCCTCAGTGGGGGAGCGCGGCGGGCTCGGTGGGATTTGCTTTCTTCCGCCTCTTCATCAGCAAAGGGTTCGAGGAATCTTCGATTTTCTTGATCTTGATTTGTTCGTAGTCCACCCGCATAGTGGCCAGCGCGCTCGTCATCTCCTCCTGCGGGCAGCAGGCACAGGCAGCACCGTCAGCAAAGCCCGCAGCACCCCGCGACACCCCCAGGGCAGCTGTCTCCCCTCCAAGCCCCCCCACGAACAATCTGCAGCAGGGGCAGTGTCCCACCGCCAATTTTTTCCAGCCCCCTCCCAAGCACAGATCTCCCCAGGAGCCAGCACCGAGCCCACACCAGCCCGGTTTGCAATGAGAGGGCAGAAGCGGAGAGACCCCAGGTGGCACCCAGGGCGCAGAGCGTTTCAGACAGCGACGGAGAGAGGTTTTACCTTCACGTCCTCCCACAGGTCCTTCTCCTCTTTTAGCACGCGGCTGGTGTGCAGCGGGGTCTGGGGCACCTGCATGGATTGCTGCCGAGAGGGCGGAGGAGCGTGAGCCGGGAGCCGCGGGCACTCCATCCCATCCCTGCCCCGTCCTCCTCCCCATCCTCTGCCCCATCAACCCCGCACTCACCATGATCCAGGGGTGGTTCATGAACTCCGTTATGGTCATGCGCTGGGTCGGGTCTGTCTTCAGCAGGTTGCGGATCAGCTGCTTAACTGGAAGGGTTTGTGCAGGGCAGGGCGTTAGCAGGTCCCATGGGAGCTCTCCCCATGCTCCAACGTGAGCCAGCGGCCCCGAAACGCCTGCACCCGCCTCCCATCCCCTCTGTGCCACAGACCTCACCCTGGTCAAACCCTTCAGCAAAAGCCTCTCGAGCAAAGAGGCAAAGCTGCTGCGTTACTGAGGTGACCCACGACAGGCCCAGGCTTGCCCCCCTCCGGCCTTTGCAGCGCTGCTGGATGCAGGGCTGACCCCAAAGGGTGACTTCAGCCTGGGGACAAGCCGTCCCGGGGACAGTGTTTACCTTCCTCCGACACTTCGGACCATTCAGGATTGGGAAACTCGTACTGGCCCATTCGGATGCGCTTCTTCATGCCAGGCGAGATGGCCAGGCCGTGGTTGGAGTAGAAGGGGGGGTACCCGCACAGCCTGCGCCGGGAGGGGGAGCAGAGTCAATGCGCCGCCCCGAGACCCACCCAGCAGCACCCACGGGGCAGTGCCAGGAGCAGGAGCTGCGCAGCTGGGAAAGGCTCAGCCCCACCAGCCCACAGACAAGCTCGAAAGCTGTAACCCCCCGCTCCTGACCCTGGCAAGACGGAGAGGGACCCGTCGGACTTACAGAATGTACATGATGACGCCCAGGGACCACATGTCGCAGGACTTGTCGTACTTCTCCGGTCCCAGCACCTCTGGGGCTGGTAAAGAGAGAAACAAACTCATGAGTCAAAGCCAAGCTGCAGCACCAGGTAAGAGGGGGTCCGACCACCCCAGGCCTGCAGCTCTGGGCAGTCCTGGCAGCCCTGCTGGGAGCAGCGCGAGTGTTGCTGCACGGGCTCCAGCACAACCCCGCAGGCAGCAGAGGCAGGAGCGCTGCAGCACGGGCATGCGACACACCGGCTGCACGCACCGACACCGTGCTCGGAGCAGCCCGTCCTGCACGCACGGGCAAGCTGCAAACACAGCGCCCACCTGCACTCAAAGCAGCCCCCAGCCCCAAGCATCCCAGACAGGAGTTGCCCCCAACACAACGCTGCAGCTGAGGCCCCGGGCTGGAAGCAGAGGTGATGGGCTGCGCATGGCACCGTCCAAACCTCCCCGGCTCTGCCCTCCAGCCCTGCAAACGTGCAAGCTCAGACCCCCCCCCGCCCCCAGGCACTTACCCACGTAGTACGGCGTGTAGCACGGAGTGGCCAAGGAGTTGTGCGTGGTGGTTTCTTTAGCAAAGCCAAAGTCCGTGAGTTTTAGCACAGCATTGGGCCTTTTGGAGGTGTACAAGAGGTTTTCCGGCTGTGAAAACACAGGGAGGAAGCAGTGAGCAGGAGAGCCGGAGCAGCCTCGGCGTTGCCATGGGCCAAGCGGGACTCGGCACTGCCCGGCGAGCGTGCAGCCTGGTACCTTCACGTCCCGGTGCGCAATGTTGATCGAGTGCAGGTACTGGATGGCTTCCCCAATGCTCTTCATTATCTCTGAAGCCTCTGAAGCAGCAAAAATAACATCAGAAGCCTTTATAAGCAGGTTAAAGTGAGCCACAATCCCTCCTGGGTTACTCTACGAACCAGGAGCTAACGAGCCTGGCTGAGGCCAAAGGGGTTTCCTCCACCTGAGGTCCCCCTTTCCAAGCAGGGCCCCCCCCAGCCCCAGCCCTGGGTCAGGAGCCTGCAGCAAACGGGACAGAAACTCCCAGGAGAAGGGATGGGGCAGGCTCCAGCCCCTGACCCCAATACCCAACCACAGAAGCCCCAAGGAGGGGCTCACTCTGGGGTGGGGGGTGGGGCCGACCCAGCCCCCAGCACCACCAGGGACCTCAAATCTGCAGGGACATCACCTGGGAAAGCTTTCCCCATAGGACGGGAAGCCAAGGGGGCCACGAGCTCAGGGCTTGGGTTGTGCGGACACTTTTCCTGGCCACGGGAGCAGAGGGGATGAGATTAATGAGATCTAGGAGAACCACAGCCCCTGGACTCCCTTTTTTGAGGGAGGTGGGTGTTTCTGAAGACCACTCAAGCTCCTGCCTGTGCTGCAGCGGAACAGACGGGGCACAGGGGCAGCTGAGAAAACATCCCCTAAGCCTACTCTCAAGTGACTGCGAAAAGCAGGGCCACTCGCACCCCCATTCCTCATTCCCCAAGTGCAAAACCGTGCTGGGGATTCAAAAGAGCAATCGAGGGAACGGGCTGGACCACAGACACAGTCCAAAGATGAAACCCCAGGTTCTCCATGGGCTCCATACCCCGTTCTGTGAAGGCCTGGTCTCCCCTGTCTTGAATTCGGCTGAAGAGCTCCCCGCCATCCAAGCTGGAAGAGAAGCAGATGGCGTTAGAGGCTGCGGCATCGGTCTCACGCCCCAGCAGTACCGAAACCTCTGATGCTCAGCCAGGAGCTGCACAAGCTCAGCAAGAAACAAACCCCTCCTTCGTCCAAGCCCTTGGGTCGGTGCTTCTGGGCACAGGGCGGTGCAGAGCCTCCTCCTTCCAGAAATGAGCAGGGCAGAGGCTTCGTGCTGGTGGCAGAGACGCCGGGTGCAAGCGGACGTGGTCTCCCCACCAGCCCACAGAAACACATTTACAGTAAAGACAACAAACACGGCTCGAACGAGGCAAGAGCACTCCCGGCACGCCTGGCCTCATTTCGCTCACCAGCCAACCACCTCGCCGGCGTGCTAACCCCGTACAGAAGCGCTGAGCAAAGGTTGTGGCACGGGGCGAGGTGTCAGCAGCACCGAGATGGGCTCACCGCTGGGATGGGGGAGGCAGAGGCTGAACCCCGCTGCAGCAGAGTCAGCTCTCACGCAAGGTGTTGGAGAAGGACCAGGGAAACCTTGGCGCAGTTTCCTCCCCAGCCAAAGGCTCGCCAGGTACCCTAAGGAAAAAATCTCGGCTCCCAGAGATCAGGAGTGAGATCAGGGATAATTCCCCATGAGAACAGGGATAATTCTCCATGAGAACAGGGATAATGTCGCTTCCTGCCCCTGCCTTATCTAACTCGAGCAGAAATGGCCTCTGGCTTTCCCAGAGCAGATAGCATCTCCTGCCAGCGCCCTTGACATTTGTGGGACATCTGCAATACAGATAGTGCGCAGCCAGCGGGGCCAGGAGCGCTCAAGACACACCATGCTCAGGCTGAAAGTCAAATGCTGACTGGTGACGGGCGTTACACCCAGAGCATTCCTCAGACAGCGGGGACCTGTCGCAGGGACACGCTGCGGGGAGCTGTCGTTGCTCTGGGGACTTGTTTCCTACCATTCAGCAACTGCTTTCTTCCCATACAAGCAGACGTGCTGCACGAACCTGTCCCATCCCCGGCTGCCCAGTGTCCCGCTGTGGTTCTCAGAAGCCTCTCCCCACACAAGAGGTGCTCGGGCGGCTGCCGCGCTGCCTGCCCCGGCGCTGCTCGCAGGGCTCCTCGCACCCGCTGTCCCCCCAGGCAACCTACTGGCTTGCCAGAGGAGAGGTTTTGGCAAGGAAGCTGCATCAAATCACAGCTGCGGTTGGGATGTGGTTTCAATACTTTCCCCTTCATTCCTCCTCCTCCCCAGGTTATATCAAACATCTACCCGAATTAGAGCTGCTCGACTGCTGCTGCACGAGGTGCAACGGCGGCAATAGATGCGTCAGCTCAGCTTGGCTGCACGCTGCCCAGCGGAGCCCGCTGCAGGCTGCTGGCGTGCCAGGAACCCGCGGACAACCCCGACTTTCAATGGCCAAAGCCAGTTTGGTTATGATTTATCTGCAGCAGGAACCACAGGCCCTAAGCCTCCCGACAGCCCAGCGAGCTTTCAGAATGACTCAGAGCCAGCGCAGCTCCCGCCGTCCCTCCAACGCCAGCGGCGCAGCGCCTCTTCCAGGGCTCGCATCCCTACGGCTCGCAGGCTGCATCCCCCAGCCCCGCATCTCCCTGGGGTCCCCAGCAGCAGCGCAGGAAGGTGCTCGCCCCCCCTGCTTTTGGCATCACCCCACCGCCCCGCAGGGCTGCGGGTGGTCCTGCGGGGAGAGCCCACCCGCAGGGGCGACTCACCACTCCATGACGATGAGCAGACACTTCCTCCCCTGGTAGAGGTTCTCATAGACGTCCATGATGCGGACGATGTGGGCGCACTGCGACGCCCTCCAGTGCAGCTCCACTTCCCTGCGGGCCTTCGGGCAGTCCTGCAGCATCTGCGAGAGAAGCGAGACCCCTTCAGCCCCGAGCCCCCCAGGGGAGCCGGGCCGTGACACCCCGCTGGCACAAAGCCCACCCGGAGGAGACGCAGGGGCAAAGGCCAAGCGCGGGTGCTCTCCGCGGGCGCCATCGAGGCGAGCTCCATCTCTCTGAGCAATGCCTCCATCCCCATCTAGTGGGAAGACCATGAAGCCGCCTGCCCTCATGAGCTTCTTGCCCTCCCTCCCAAGGCTGGTAAAAGCTTATTCCAGCTGCCTGTCACCCCCCTGCCCTCTGAGATGACTCCCCGGTGCCCAGCCAGCCTGTGCCACCAGCCAACAAGACTTCCTACCGCATTTAGGCGCAACCTTCTGCATGGTGGCACCTACACCACCACGCCCCCGGGTGCCACCAAGCATCCTCACCCTCTTCTTCGCAGTCCCCCCAGCAGCACTGCCCACCCATCACCTCCCATTCACCAGCCTCCTGCTCCGTGGGACTGGCAGGACCCCCTTGCTCTGTGCCCTTACGCACAGGCTGGGCACAGAAACGCCCTCCCCGTGGCTTCAGAGGCCCCCAGCACCCAGCCACGCGTGCCTGGGGAGGGGACAAAGCAAACAGCCAGATGTTCCCTAAATAGCAGCTTTTCTCACAAGCAGCAGCAGCTCTTTAATGAGGCCCTCGCCCTTCCCAGAGACAACTCACAGTTCCCAGGTGCAGGAAGGATCTGCTCGTCTGCCACAGACTATTAATTACCATGTTTGTCAGGATAAACAACCAGCTTTAATTATTATACTCCTAAATATAGAGCAACAAACATGTCTATCTTGAGCGTAGTTCATTTTCCTTCCTGTCTCTGGCAGCTCCTAGGGCTGGGCTGGACAAAACGCCCCAGAGCAGGTGTGCACCTCAGTGGAAACGCATCCCACCCCCACGTGCATCAGCAGCGAACAGCAGGTTTGGTCATTTTACCAAGACAGAGACAGAAACGCACTTCTTGCCCCTCTACCCTCTCCCAGCCGAGCTCCCAGCACCGCTGGGCAAAGGGGAGAGCGCCCAGCCGGCAAGCAGAGGAGCGCGAGTCCCTGGGATGCTTCGCTGGCCTGGCAGGACCCGAAATAGCGCCCAGGATGCCTCCGCTGCAGGGGGGATTTCACAGGAGCAAGGGTTAACACTTGCTGCTGCTCCACCAGACACACGCTGCCTGCTTATAAATGAAACACTTGCTGATGGTGCTCGTGTGAGCCTGGCAGAGTAACGGCAATTTGCATTCCTGCCTGCAAGAGCCCGTGCCCTTTGCCACGGGAAAAGGGACAAATAGGACGCACCCTTCAGCCACCCACCCGTAACCCCGATGCCTGGGTGTTTGGTCACACCTCTCCCACCTCCTCCGCTCTCCTGCTTCCCAAGGCACAGGAAAGCCATGGCAGTGGACTGGGCGCGGGGTGGCTTCTGGCATCAAACCATCTGGAAGCTCAGTGAAGACCCAAGTGGCCAAGCCACCCTTCGCAGAACCCTTCCACACCATTGGCACCGACGACCTTGGGGCAAAGGGAAGACAGGGCAGGAGGCTGGGCAGCCCCTCCTTGCTCCTCTGTTGCTTAATGACCCTAAAAACCAGGTCCTGCCAGAGCCATAAGCCAGCGCAGGGCCAGACCCTCCAGCGGCCACGCAGGCAGGGAAGGGGCCTGGAGAAAAGCTTGGCTATTTGCAGCTCTGCTCTGAAGAGCCTGGCGTGGGGAGCCAGGAAGCTGAAGAGAAAAAAAACAATTTGTAATTACACGCTGGGAAAATTGAACAGCAGGAAGCAGACGGTTAACATCATTCTGCGCAAGACAAACAGGAGATGTACAGAAATATATATCCAATTTTTAGAGGTCACTCGAAGCGCTTTTTAAAGGCGCTTAATTGTATTTCTAATGAACTAGGAGGCAACAGCCTCCATTACCTGTACCAGCACAGCCCTGACATTTGCTTTTGTACTCAGGCACCCGCAGGCGAGCACAGAGCTGCCCCAGCGCTCTCCAAACTGCCCGGCTGCACTTCAGCTGCACCACCAGCCAGCCCCCCTCCGCTCCCCTGCCAGCGGCGGGATGGAGAGGCTGCTCGCCCGGCTGGGAGAGGCGCAGATTAAGCCTTGTTAAGAGAATTATTTGGTCCATTTAGGAAACGTTCCCGGTGGCAGGTGACAGTGGCATGACGGGGAGCTGAAGGCCAAACGCAACGAGGTGGCGTGAGGAAGGCCATTACCGCGGCGGGGGGATGCAGGAGGGATGTGGCCGTGCCCAAACCATGGCAGAAGCGACCCACAGGCCCAGCATCACCCCACCGCACCCACACAACCTCCATCCTGCCCCCGGCACAAAGCACCGGCTCCCTGTGCCCCTGGCAGCCAGGGAGGTGCCGAGCACGGCGCAGTGGTGGGAAAGCACCGTTTGGTCCTGGTCCAGGCAGGGCGAGGGCAGCACTTCCACCAGTTTCTCACCAGTTTCTTGTCTCTAGGGAGGAGCCAACAGCTTCCGCAGCCCAAGACTTTCCCTCCTGCTCCCTCCTCAGCCACAGTCAGCAGTGAAACCACCGGTGGGTGACATCCTGACGTGACAGGCATTGCTCCGGTCATGGGAACTCCACATCGAAAGTATTTGGGGGTGTGTGGTAACACTACCCGGGTCCCTAATTTAGCTCCAGTATCCAGGACAGCCTATGGCTGCAACAGGATTTGTATTTCTTGGCTTGCAACGAGGAGGCGGGGATGGGAAAAGCACCTCGTGTTTCCCTGAGGTTCAGCAAGGGTGAACTGCTCCCATCCCACCCCAGCTGAGGCCACCAGCCCGGGGACACTGTCCCCTCCCACCAGCTTCAGAAGCAGGAGATTTTGCAACTGCCCCAACCCAGAGCACAACCAGGGTTAACCCTTCGCAGAGGGGAGCTGGCAGCAGATGGACAACCTGCTGGAAACCCCCGACGGCCCACAACTGCTCTCAGTTCAGCTCTTCCATCTATTTTATCTCCCGCTCCCCTCCCAAGGGAGGGCTCCTTGGCAGTCAAACTCCTCATCATTTCAGATGGGAAGCACTGCACTACCTGCTCGCCCCCGCGGGAGCAGAGGGCTCCAGCACCGAGGCCGCAGCTAAGCCCAGCGGGCAGTAACGGGATCTCCGAGTTACACAAGCGTCCCCGGGACAAGGGCAGTGCTGCAGAGGGGGCTTAACCTCCACCTCTGAGCAAAGCCAGGTTTTACACGCAGAGGAGTCGTGTGCGTTTCCCTTTAGGGCAGTTAGGTGCTTTAGGTGTTAGCCTTGCAGCCGGCACAGGTCTCCCAACCTCCTCTCGTCACCCAAGAGCATCTCCGCATCCTGATGTCCCTCCGACACTGCATGGGACAGGGGACAACCAGGAGAGCTGTGCCACTTCAGAGCCCTGCACCATTCCCGCTTCCCACTGGGGCACCTACCTGCAGGAAAGAAGGGGGGAGCAGGGAAAGGGCCATGCCACCCTCATCGCAATTAGGGAGGAAATTCAGCTTTCAGGCCGTTTCAGCTCTCCCCGCAGCAGCTTGACGCTTCCGAGGTTTTGGCAGACGGCGTTTGCTGCCATCCTGCGCCTTGGCTCAGCCCAGCTCCCCCAGGAGCCGCTACACACTGCGAGAGAAATTAGTTACGTGCAAAGCTAAACCACGCTCATTAGCTTCACTAAAACCCTCAAGCTGAGGGCTCCAAAACTGGCCCCCCAGCAGCGGACGGCGCAAACCCAGCCCCTGCATGCTCGGGACCCCCCAGCAGCAAAGGTTCCTCCCAGGCTCCCGCAGTCGCTCTGGGATTTTCACCACCATTGAAAGACAAACCCTGGAAGCAGCTCCCAAAATCAAACCAGCTCATCGGGGCATCCGCAGGGAGACGGCGCCCACCGACCAAACCCAAACCCCGGCCAAGTTGCCTCCGCAGGGCAAGAAACTTGGGTTGCAAACTCAGCAGGCTCCAGCCAGCCCTGCCACTCCCCACCGTCACCGAAAACGAGCTTTAGCTCAAACGAAAGGACTGGGGCCCCGTCCCTTTGGCTCAGCACCACGTCGAGCTGGCCCCCCGGCCGTCGTCTCACGCCAAGCAAAGGCGGGTGCAAGGAAGGAAGGAAAACGCCGAAGAAAACAAGGGGGCTGGAGACACCCGCGCTCACGCTCCCTCGCCCGCACGCATCCTCAGGCACCACTGATTCAGTCCCGCCGCCTCCTCCTGGGAGGATGCGCCATGAATCACGGCGGATTCGCAGAGGAAGCTCTCTCCTCCGCTGGCATGGCAGGAGGTCCCAAACGACACCGTCCCACTCGCCGTGAGTGCCACCGCAGCCCCAAACGGTGCTGCCCCTGGGCGAGCCATGAGACCATGCTGCGCTCACTCAGCTCGGCAAGATATCCCGGTCTAAGAGCTTGCAAGGGAAAACTCACCTCCCACGGGCAGGATCAGGCACACGCCGGCACGCCAAGCTGTTCATTTTCCAGGGCTGCCCTTCTTTGCTCTGGCTCCACGCTCACCCCTGGCACTCCAGCTGCTCTTGCAGGCAGGGTATTTTTATTTCCCTGTGTGTTCTGATCACACCCAATTCACCTCGGTTCCCAGCGGAGCAGCACACGCTGCACGCCTTGCCTGCACGCCAACCACCCCTCCGACAACCTCCTGCCACAGGACCCGCAGGAGCGTGCCCACGCCCCACGCCACCCCGAGGAGTTCCCCTCAGGACCGTGGTACGGGGCTTAAAATAAATCCTTCTTAAATTGCAACAAAAATAAACCTACAGCGAAGAAAGGCAGGCTGTCATCCTCCCAAGTTATCAGCAGGGAAGCAAAGCAGAGGTTTCCCTGCCTGTACTGCACAAGCAAGCTCCAGGCTTCCCTGACCAGGCTCACATGGAGCAAGGAGCATTTTTTCCTAAAAAAGCAAAAGGGTTTTTCTCTTCAAAGGATTTGCTTCTTCTAATCTTTCCATGCAAACCTGTTGCCAACTGGCACCAGCTGCTTAACGCATTTGTAGAGCCGGTGCTGGATGCTTTGCACCTGCTGTTCCCACCTCGCAGCGCTGGGAAGGCAAAGCCCCATCGCCCCCCACGCCCCGCTGACGGTCCCCAGCACCCACCTGATGAGGCACAGGGCTGAGGGGC